CCTCAGCTAGCCAGGAGTCCCTTCTGCCAGAGGTAAGGGTAACTCCTTTTGGTAGAGGGAAGCCAGCTGTGGTGGTTTGAATAGGTTTGGCCACCATAAATTGGTATGTTTGAATGCTTAGCCATAGGAGTCACACTACTAGGATGTGTGGCCTTGTTGGAGGAAGTGTGTCACTGTGGAGGTGGGCTTTGAGATATCAAGTTTGGTCACCATAGAGTCTTGTGTTTGAATGCTTGGCCATAGAAGTGGTGTGGCCTCATTGGAGGAACTGGGTCACCCTGTAGGTGGGCTTTGAGGCCTTCTCTGCTCAGGCTTCACCCAGTGTGGAAGAGAGCGTCTTCCTGGCTGCCTTAGGATCAAGATGGAGAACTCTCAGCTTCTCCAGCACCAAGTCTGCCTAGGTGCTGCATGCTTCCCACCGTGATAATAATGGACTGAACCTCTTAAACTGTAAGCCAGCCCCAATTAAATGTTTTCCTTTATAAGAGTTTCCTTGGTCATGATGTCCCTTCACAGCAATAAAACCCTAAGACGCTGGCTTAACAAGTTCCTGAGGAATGCTGGCTTTTATTTAACCATAAGAAATAGCTCAAATCGAGCTCATTTCTGTCTTTTGGAGTTTGGGGAATTGGGTAGATCCTAGATTTTTTTTTTTAAGACCAGTTTTTTAACACTATCTGTTAATCCCAAAGATAGGAGGAAGACCACGGTGTGAAGAGCTTTTGGGGCCACTTCTAGAAAATGGGGGAGCATTTGTCACTGGGCTCAGACAAGGAAGTAGGCTCAGATAAGAGTATTTACATTTGGGCTAGTGCAAAACTCAAGGTAAACATAGCCAAGGAATGTGTGGCATTCCTTTTATCTTATAATCCCTATAAGCCCCCAGACCTAGTGACTAAGGGACTTTGTTTATTGCTTTGTTTGATTACTACCTTGTTTGATCTCTTTATTGCCTTGTTTGATTACTTTGTCTTTGATCTAAGAACTGACCCTATTCTTTGCAAGTACCTAGAAAGGTATAAAAGCTGACTGGGAAAAAAAAATAAAGATGCTTCAGCCTCAGCCTCAGCACTGGCTGAAGTCATGTTAGAATGTTGTCTAATTGTCTTTTTCTTTTCGGTCCTCACTCCCTCCCTTGAGACCCTGTTTGACTGACTGAGCTGCCTCGGTCACCACTGACCCAAATAGTTATGGACAAATTAATTAGAGCAAGCAACTAATTACACCAAGTTCTTTTATTCATGCACATGGCTGCTTCCCCCTAAAGCAGGATGAGAGAGGGGTCAGCATTAGACTGAGGAAGACAAACGCTAGAGAGTTCCCAAACAGGAGGTCTGCAGGCGAATAGGGTGGGTTCTAGGAGCAGAACATAAGCATAACAAGTTGGTCATAATAACCTCCCGAAACTAAGACAAGGTTGCAAGGTCGTCAAAGCAACTGGTACTCACAACGAGATAGGGATAGATGGCCAAAATAAGCCCTGGAAACAAAGGTAGTGTTGCAAGATGGTTTTGAAGCAAAGACATGGTTGCCATTTCCTGGAACAGGCAGTACAGAGCCATTTTTAGTTAAGGTGACAGATGGGGGATTCTCCAATCCTAAAGAAACGGAGACGTAATCATAAACAGGAAGGAGCCTAGTCTATCTTTACTCTTTGTATGTAAGATGACTTTTAAGCCTAAGACAGAGGCAGAGTGCTTTACTATATTGTTTCCAAACAGCAATGTTTTGGCCACAGGGAACTCTGTCATGCTTTGTAGGAAGTAAAACAGCACTTCCTACCGGATAGCAGTTGCATCTTTTCACGTGGGACAATCCAAATTGCACCCAGACATTGCTAAGTGTGGGTATGGTGCGTTGGTGACTGTACTAAGCCATGCTCCTCTCCGCATCTGCTCTAAGTTTAAAAAGCTAGAGGAAAGAGTCATTATATAACTGAACTGACAAAACATCCAAAATGGGGCTAGAGAGCTGCTATAAAGTCTTATTTTTGTGGGTTTTTCTTCTAGTTCTGAAAGGTTGCATCTACTATCAACGAATAACAAGTGTTTACAAATCATTTCTTTTTCCATTTTTTTTTTAGAAGTATGTTTTTTTTAAATCCCACTTCCCAGTTTCCCCTCTGCAACCCCCCTATCTCTTACCTCACTCCAGTATCATTTCTAAGATGAAAAAAAAAATGAAATGTGGGGTGGTGGGCTGAGAGAAGCAGCTGGGTGCCTGGTTGAGCAAGTCTTGAACCCCGGACCTTTATCAGGACAGCAGATAAAGGTGTTCGGCTCTGCCCCCAGAACCTGGTTCTTTTCATTCAGCTTCGGCACTCCACAGCCCCTTCCAAAGAGAGGTCTATCACCGTCAGTCATGAGGAACAGTGCCTCAGGCTCTCCTACATGTAGATGAGCTATCTCCAAGCTCTCAGACCAAGCCAATAGGCGTTATCTGCTGCCAGACCCTAACCCACCCTGAAACTGTATATAAGGGCTCTATTCTGGAGAAGTAAAGGTGTGTTTGAGAACCATCCTGGTGTCTGAGAGTTTCTGTTTCAAGAGCTGTAACACTTGGGGAGAGTTCTGCTCTCCCGGAACCTTCTTGGGACACCAAGCTGCTTCCTTGCCAGCTAGCCGGCTTCCTATCAGCCCAGCCCGGGGCCGGCTCAGTGCTGAGAGATAGGTGCAGCACCTGGTGACAGCGGAGACTCGGGCAGAGGCATCAGCTGGGGCAGGCAGTCTCTCCTCCCTGCTCGCACTCTGTACCCTTTGGCCCAGACCTCTCACACCGGGCCTGGCCAGAGACCAACAGATAGTGGAGATGGGCAGAGGCAGCGGCAGCGGCAGAGATGGTAGCAGACCCTCCCTGCTCTCACTCTGTCCTCAGCCGGAAGATCATCGTGGGACACCCTCCAGAACTGGGGACCCACAATGAAAGAAGAGTGTGTGCATATGGTTGGATAAGAAAGAAAAATCTTGGGCTGGAGAGATGGCTCAGTGGTTAAGAGCACTGGCTGCTCTTCCAGTGGTCCTGAGTTCTAATCCTAGAAACCACATGGTGGCTCACAACCATCTGTAATGGGATCTGATGCCCTCTTCTGGTGTGTCTGAAGAGAGCAATGGTGTACCTATATACATAAAAATAAATAAATCTTAAAAAAAAAAACCTTCTAAAAGTGCATTCATGTTGGAGCCCCTTTCACTGTCCTTTTAGTAATAGGGATAAATTGAGAGTTCTTCCCAGCTCGGTTACCAGCCAAGAACACTTAAAGCCAGGATGGATAACAGCAGTTACCTGCTCATGATTCTAATGTCTTACTGCTCTCTGGTTTAGAGACAAGAATTGCCACAAGTGGGAAGTTCCTAGAAACCCAGGATTTGGAATTATCTCCACCACTGTCTAATCCACATCTGTATACATGTGCAGTTAACACATTGCTCCAGTGGACCCATGTTAGCTCCACTAAACACAGCCTGCAATGCTCCTGAAGAAGGAAAAATGGCAAGCTTCACATAGATTTGTATGATTAACAAACCTACTGGAAGAAACACGAAATGCGCCGGGTGGTGGTGGCGAACACCTTTAATCCCAGCACTTGGGAGGCAGAGGCAGGCGGATTTCTGAGTTCGAGGCCAGCCTGGTCTACAGAGTGAGTTCCAGGACAGCCCAGGCTATACAGAGAAACCCTGTCTTGAAAAACCAAAAAAAAAAAAAAGAAACACGAAATGCAGTTTCTACCAAATATAAACCTTGTGTTTAGAACAAACAAGGAATTCAAATACATTTCTCTCCTACTTTGTTAAGACTTTACTCAATCCCCCAGTTAAACCTTTGTTTACTACACAAAAGGCCAACTGCTCCTTTCTAATAAGTTGATCACCTAGAGCAGTATGACCACTTTCCCTTCTTCTTCTTCTTTTTTTTTTTCTTTTTCTGATTTCCTGTGTAATCCTGGCTGTCCTGTAACTCACTCTGTAGACCAAGCTAGGTGGCCTCAAACTCAGAGATCCACCCACTTCTGCATCACACACGTTGGGATTAAAGGTGTGCACCACTGGCCCGACCCCCTTCGTTTTCTATGTACCAATTACTTTCAGACTAGCTAAACTGAATTAAGACTGAGAGGTAGGGCACCAATCAGTGGGGAAAAGGCAGTCACCACCTGAGCTAAAATAAAAACCAAATAAATGTTAGGCAGAGGCAGAGAGTTTGAGGCCAGCCTGATCTACAGAGCGAGTTCCAGGATAGCCAGGGCTCATGAAAACACTGACTTATTTAAAAAAAAAAAAATCCAGCCAACTACCAACAAAAATCAAATGCACTTCCTATCTGTGTGCACGTTTTTGTGAGAGCACCCTCTTCATCAAGAGTAAAGTTTGCATTGTCTCAGGGCGTCAGTTTGGAGTGGTGGCTTGTTTGAGACCCCGAGCTTTTCCCTAACACCTAGGAAAGAATTGTTAGGTAGGAATAAGAAATCGAAACTATACGTCAGTTTTACTTCTAGTATAGCTAAAATTCAACTACTAAACACTTTCGTAAGCCTGGGAATTTCCCGTTTTTCTGGAAAAGAATACATCTCTTGAGAAGTAACCACCATAGATGTCCATGTAGTCCACACAAAGTAGTTTCCTAAACTTACATAGCTTCAGTAAAATTTGCTTAGCTTCTAGTTGGGGTAGGGACGGGTCACGTATAGAAAAGAGAATGACAAGACTGTAAGCTATTTAATATTTCTGTTCTAGACTTAGACATTAAAGTTCTGCCTCCCCTTGAAAAAGATTTGTTGTCTGCTGGCTGACATTCCTTGCCGGTCCTGTAACACTGCCACAGCCCCAGTACCCAGGAAGACAATGAGTCCGGGATGGTGAAATATTAAGAATAAAAAGCAGGATCGGAAAGCATCTAGCGGGGGTCAAAGTATCCCTTCACTGTTCCAGACGTGAATCCCAAGCAAGAAGTGAAGAGCTTCCTGCTTCCGGGACTTGCGTCCGCACGCATGCGCAGGCCCCGCAAAGCGCTAGCTGGCTTCCCGCAGGAAGGGTTCAAGGGTCGCGCCGGTCCCTTTCGTCTCTCTGGGAGTGAGACCCGAACTGCGAGCGCGTCCAGTCCCGGGGTGTCGGCAGTACGGGAGCCCCAGCTCTGGTGAGTGTGGCATCGGATGCTTTAGCTAAGCGGAACTAAGACCATCTCTCCACTGGGGCTCGAATGGGCGGTCGCCGGAGCAGCCTTCCGCCCATTGGTCAGAATCGTCTTCCGCGTTTCATGGTTCCGCCCACATTCTGCGGCTGTCCAGTCAGTTGTCACTGTGCCTGCGTGGCCGGCAACTGCGTTAACTCTTGGTTACCTTAGTTTAGGTTTAGATCCTTAAGTAATCCCACGGGGGCAGTGGCTACTCTCAGTACTCCGGAAACAAAGGCGGGTGTGTATGTGATATATGTGTGTGTGTGTGTGTGTGTGTGTGTTTCTCTGTCTGCGTATGTGTGTGTGTGTACATACACATACAAATGTTTACACAATCCCTACCCCAATAAGATTTTCTCTGAAGCTAAGCAAATTTTAATGAAGCCATGTAACTTTAGCAAAGAACTCTCTGCTTACTATGTAGACCAGAGGCTGGCCTCAAACCCACTGAGATAATCCCTACCTCTGCCTCCCAAGTACTGGAGCTAAAGGCTTGTGCTACTACACCTGCCTAACAATCTATCCATCCTTTTAAGCATTGGCCACACGTTTTGTTTGTTTGTTTGTTTGGTTGGTTGGTTGGTTGGTTTGGTTTTTGTTTTTCTCTAGACAAGATTTCTCTATGTAGCCCTGGCTGTCCTGAAACTAATTCTGTAGACCAGGCTGCCCTTGAATTTAGAGATCTACCTGCCTCTGCCTCTGCCTCTGCCTCCCAAGTGCTGTAACTGTGCAACCAACCACTGCCTGGCTGGCCACATTCCCACAATTATATCTATCTAAACAAATGGTAAATCCACCTTTCCAGGAGCTTGAACCTGGGGGTCATTCTTACATAGTTGTATAATTCAGCAGCAAATCCTCTTGATTCTACTCCCCTATGTCTAGAACTATCACTTGACCACAACTACCATAACCCAAGCTCCCTTCATCCCTCCCAGGTCTCCCTGCTTCCTCCTTCATTGAAGTGGGTAGGAGCCCCTTCATGAGTTCCTGCAGTGGCCCTCTGTGCTGGTGAGGATGAAATCCAAGGTTCTGTCCTCTTCGACTCTGTTCCTTCCCACCTCGCTTTCATTTTGCCAGCTGGTCTAACACACCCTAGACTGCTGTTTTCTAAACATGCCGTTACACTCCATGTGTAGAAAGGGGCTGAGGCGCTTGTTAGATTGGCTTGTGTAATATGGTCCAGTTAGTCCAACATGGGTGGCTCACACAGGAGAGGATGAGAATCCAATAGTTGCTCAGTCTACAAGTCTTTCTGTTTCAGCAATGACAGTCTGGTGCTGGAGAAGTCCCGAAGCCCAAAGGTGGTTCTAATAGCATCAAAGGAAGGCAGCAGACATGGGATAGATGAATTGCCAGCAAGGGGAAGCAGACCAAGGACACTTTTCTCCTCTCCCATCTGTTTATCTGGGCTACCACCAAAAAGTGCCTCTCACACTTAGGGTGGGTGTTACTGTTTAAAAATGATCTGATTAAGAAAATCCTCCATGAGAAATGGATGTCTATGTCAATAATGAATGGGCAACCAGTGTTGGGGAAGGAGGGAGCTTTGGAGAACTGGCTTTGATTTATGGAACACCCAGAGCAGCCACTGTCAAAGCAAAGACAAACGTGAAACTGTGGGGCATCGACCAAGACAGTTACTGGAGAATCCTCATGGGAAGCACTCTGCGAAAGAGGAAGATGTATGAAGAATTCCTTAGTAAAGTGTCTATTTTAGAGTCTCTGGACAAGTGGGAGCGTCTCACAGTAGCTGACGCGCTGGAGCCTGTCCAGTTTGAAGATGGACAGAAGATCGTGGTACAAGGAGAACCGGGGGGATGAGTTCTTCATTATTTTAGAGGGCACAGCTGCTGTGCTGCAGCGTCGGTCAGAAAACGAAGAATTTGTTGAAGTGGGATGACTGGGGCCTTCGGATTATTTTGGTGAAATTGCCCTGCTGATGAATCGTCCCTGGGCTGCCACTGTGGTTGCCCGTGGCCCTTTGAAGTGCGTTAAGTCGGACCAACCTCAATTTGAACGCGTCCTTGGTCCGTGCTCAGATATCCTCAAGCGAAACATCTAGTAATACAACAGCTTCGTGTCACTGTCCGTCTGAGCTCTGCCTCCTGTGCCTCTCTCTTCTCCCCAGTCCATGTTTCCCTCATGCAGACTGCTTTCTCTTCCCTTCTGCAGCGCCGAGTGGCCACTGGCTTCACAGCTTCTTGTCTCTTCATACTAAAAGTTGCTTTATTACACCATTTTTCATTGGGAGCATTATTGAATGCTCATTCACAAATAAATAGAGAGTTGTATGGAAAAGAAAAAAGAAAAAAAGAAAATCCTCCATGGAAGTACTCAGCAGCTTGTGTACTAGTTGATTCCAGCCAGATATAGTCAAGTTGACCACCAAGGCTAGCTAGAGGTGCGCTGTCCTCAGCACCCTACATAGTCTAATCCCTTGGTACACAGTTGCTCTTTATTCATGCTGTGTCTCAATTTTTTACTAAACACATCAAAACCTTTTTTTGATGTCAAGATGCCTGCCACTAAATTAACCCTCTGTGACAGCAGAGAGAGTTTGCTGGCGTTGTTAATTTTATTCTCGAAGTCAAGTACAGTGCCTGACACACAAGTGTTTGGGAAGCATTTGTTGAGTTAATGGCTGGTAGAAGCCATAGCAGTACTCAAATAATACTTTATTGACAGGAATCATTTTATTTTTGTTGGTTTATTTTATTTTACTTATGACACAGAATCTCACCATGTAGACCAGGTTGGCCTCACACTCACTGAGATAATCCCTACCTCTGCCTCCCAAGTACTGGAGTTAAAGGCTTGTGCTACTAAACCTGACAACCCACCCATCCTTTAAAGCATTGGTCATACTTTTTTTTTCCCCTAGACAGAGTTTCTCTGTGTAGCCCTAGCTGTCCTGGAATTCACTCTGTAGACCAGGCTGGCCTAGAACACAGAGAGATCCATCTGCCTCTGCCTCCTGAGTGCTGGAACTAAAGGCATGTGCCATCACTGCCTGGCTGGCCACACGTTCATCCTTGATTTACACTGCAGCCATATTGTTCCCAATTCAGAAATGGGGGCTGCGTCTTTTATGTAGACTCTGAACGTGTAAAAACTAGGAAGCTGAAGTCGCCTCTCAACTTTGTTGAGTTGACGGTTAACTGTTTGGTGCATTCCTTTTCTGACTTTTCTCATGCATGTGTGATCATGTACCAGGCCCTGCCTTTGGTCCAAATCTCTGTAAAAAAAAGTGGCAACCGATAATTGTCACAATAATGCTTTGTTGTTCCCCTTATAGTTTTAAGGCAGTCATTTTATGAACTTAGTAACAATGTTTATTTTAATGACTTTATAATATTTGTTTACATATATTTCTTAAACTAGTCTCTTCCTTAAGTTCTTTGTTTCTTTTTATCTATCTGTCTATCTATCTATCTATCTATCTATCTATCTATCTATCTATCTATTTTTACTTTACTGTGTAACTTTAGCCAGCATGGAACACTCAATGTAGACCAGACTGGCTTTGAATTCACAGAGGTCTTCCTGCCTCTGTGTCCCAAGTCAATGCCTCGGTTTAATTAAGTGCTGGGACTAAAGGCGTGTGCCACCATTCCTGGCCAGCCTGGGACTAAAGGCATGTGCCACCATGCCTGGCCAGCCTGGGACTAAAGGCATGTGCCACCATGTCTGGCCAGCAGCTTTAGTGTTCTGATGTGAAGCATCACAACTGCCATGGATGCAGGACTTAGATGGACAAGAGTGGAAGCCATTGATAGAGGATGAAATCATCATAGTTTAACTTTCTTCTGCAGTTTCAGCTTCCTAAGTTTGGACCTTTCAACTGTGAAAAGGGGCTGCCTGAGCTGTGGGAAGAGTGGCCTTCCCCTCCCCCATGCATCATTTCACCTTTTATTGTTTTGTTTTGTCTCGCTCTATAGCCCAAGCTGGCGTTGAACCTACAGTTTTCTAGCTTTCTGAATGTTGGTATGGCAGGCATGAGCCAACACCCCTACCTGGCTCTTCTATTTAAAGACCACTAAATGGGGGATAGAGAGGTGGCTCAGCTGTTAAGAGCACTAGTCACTCTTCCAGAGGACCCAGGTTCAATTCCCAGCACCCACATGGTGGCTCACAACCATCTCTAACTCTAGTTCCAGAGGTTTGATTCCCTTTTCTCACCTATGTATGGCACCAGGCACGCACATGGTACTCGGACATACATGCAGACAAGACAGTCACATGTATAAAATAAGTAAAAGTTGTAAAAGACTAGTAAACGTTAATGTCTACTTGAAAGAAAAACACATGACTTACTCTCTTAATTTGTTCATCCTGAGTTCCAGTGTAACTCGTCACAGCCACTCCTCTGGCTATATCCTTGGCATAGCTTTTTGAGTACATGGTGTGTATTTCTCAAGGAGAATGGCCACTGTTGTAACTAGAAATGCCAGGTCACTTGTCTAGATAATCTACTGTCTAGGTATAGAATACTGCATAGACTATTAATGTCTATGGATTGTCTCTTAGTTAAAAATGTGTGTGTGTGTAAGAGAGAGAGAGACAGAGAGACAGAGAGACAGAGAGACAGAGACAGACAGAGGGAGACTGTGTGCCGAATATCTGCAGGTACTCATGGAGGCCATAGTATTCCCAGGGGCTGGAGTTACAAGCCATTGTGAGCCATGCAAGATGGGCACTGGGAACTGAACTCAGGTCCTCTGGAAGAGCAGGCAGCACTCCTATCTATTAAACTGTCTGTAGCCTCATTGTTTTGGTCCCCAGCATATGATATATGAAAATAGAATAACAGGGAATACTCTAATTTTTTCATTTAATAAAGGAATTAAGTATTTTTTAAAGTTAATGTCTATGTCATTCTATTTAATTCTTTCTTCTTATCCTCAACTCCTTAGGATCTTACGGATGTCTCAGCATGGTTGAGATGGAGCAGGCAGAGGCCCAGCTCTCCGAGTTGGACCTCCTGGCCAGTATGTTCCCTGGTGAGAATGAGCTGATAGTGAATGACCAACTGGCGTTAGCAGAGCTCAAAGATTGTCTTGAGAAGAGGACAATGGAGGGGCGATCATCGCAAGTATACTTTACGATCAATGTGAGCCTGGACTTCTCTGAGGCAGCAATGGTAATTCTGTCTGTTCTGGAAAGAGTTGGAGTGTGATAGGAATAGTGTGTGTGTGTGTGTGTGTGTGTGTGTGTGTGTGTGTGTGTGTTTTAAAACAATATTCATAGCCTTTTTCTTCCTCCTCCTCTTCTCAGGTGACATTTTCTTTGTCTTGCATTCTTCCTTTTAAATACCCTACAGTCCTGCCCGAAATTACAGTGAGGTATGTTATAGAAATCGTGTTCACTATACCGGTCAAAATTAACATGAAGATAAAAGTAATTCTTTCATTTATTTTCTTGTCCAAAGAAATCGACTGAATTTTTTCCCCTTGTGTTTTTCCTGTCAGATCAGTATCGCTGAGTAGATCCCAGCAGACTCAGCTGAACACAGATCTGATAGCATACCTGCAGAAGAACTGTCTTGGAGATGTCTGTATACTGAATGCCACAGAGTGGGTTAGAGAGCATGCCTCTGACTATGTCAGCAGAGATGCTCTGTCCTCCCCTGCCAGGCAAAGCCCAGTCCAGCCAGTGGATCTCACTTTCACGAGGCTCTGGATCTACAGCCACCACATCTACAACAAATGCAAAAGACGAAACATCCTAGAGTGGGCGAAGGAACTGTCCCTGTCTGGGTTTAGCATGCCTGGGAAACCTGGCGTGGTGTGTGTGGAAGGCCCACAAAGTGCTTGTGAGGAATTCTGGTCAAGGTGAGGTTTCACCTGTGTTATGTATAGCACATCAGTAGGTGTAATTTGAAAGATGCTACTAGAGATGTAGAAACAAGTATGTGCCGGGGGATGTCTTTATGAGGATTCAGTCTCAAGTGGGTGGTAAGGTGGAAGTCACACATAGCATCACCTAGCTCTCCCCTAGCACAGCACCCTTCTGTAAATGCACTATGGATAAATTGAGCCCCTCCCACACGCTGTCTAGAACCTGTCAGTTTTCATGAATCTGCCCTTCTCTTATCTAATGAATATGGCCAACTCTCAGCTTGTGAAATGGGGATTATTTGTGAGCACTAGAATAGCCAGTAATCTTATTTCTCTACTTAGTTTCTGAGAAGTTGCTTAAGCAGTTTAAGAGTCAGCAATTTGTACCATTCTAAAATATTTGCAGCAGTTTCTGAGTTTGTAGCTCGATTGGAACAGTGCTTGCCTGGTATGCACAAGGCGTTGGGTTCTATCCTCAGCACCATGTATACCAGGCATGGTAGCACACATCTGTAATCTTGGTTCTTTGAAGGTAGAAACGACAGGATCCAGAGTTCAGTGCCACCTTTGGTCAAGACAGAGGCCAGCCTGAGATCCACGTGACTGGGCTCCCAAAGTAAATGATTAACTATTAAAATCAAAAGTCATATTCTAATGGTAAGACAGTAATAGTGACCATAAATGTGTGTTAAGATGTAATCAGAACCATTGGACAAAAAATAAGTCCCTGTGAGATTACTTCTGTACTTACAGGAACACACACTTTGTTGTATTGTTTTTGAGACAAAATCTCTCTCACTACATAGCCCTGGCTGGTGTGGAACACTCTATGTAGACCAGGCTAGTCTCCAATTCACAGAGATTTGAATTCTGTCTTCCAAGTGCTGTGTTAATACGTGTGCCCCCACTCCCAACTCTGATAAGTCTGTCTTACAGATTCTAGCTCAGCGCTGTAGAAAATACATTTTGAAATTTTCTACTTCGAAAAACTGTGTTTCAGACTCAGAAAACTAAACTGGAAGAGGATTTTAATTCGTCATCGAGAAGACATTCCTTTTGATGGTACAGCCAATGGAATGGAAGAACAGCGGAAATTTTCCATTTTTGAAGAAAAGGCCTTCAATGTCCATGGAGCCAGAGGAAACCACATGGACTTTGGTCAGCTGTATCAGTTCTTAAATGCCAGGGGATGTGGGGATGTTTTCCAGATGTTCTTTGGTGTAGAAGGACAGTGACTGAGCAGAGGGGATGTCAGACTTGTTGGCTCCCTGTTCCTCTGTTGATCAAGCTGTTCTTCCTTGAAATTCTATTTCACCTCCATTCTAGAATGTTCTAGGGTTGGGGTCATAAGAAAAAAATTAATATAGCTGAAGTGTATCAGTTAAAACATGTCATGTCTGGAAGAAGAACTGATTTTCAACTTGTAAACTTTAAATTACTGACAGAGAAGGGTGGAGAAATGGCTCAGAGGCTAAGAGCAAACACTGCTATCGCCAAGGACCTAAGTTCAGTTCCCAGCACCTGTGGCAGGGAAGCTCATAACCACCTATAAGTCTTTCCTTCAGGGCATTGGATGCACTCTGACCTCCAAGGGTGTGTGCATGAACACAGACAGGGAAGTATATTCTGGATATTAGATCCCTGGAGCTGGAGTTGCAGGAGGTTGTGAGGTGCCCAGTGTGGGTGCCAGGAACCAAAGTTGGGTCCTCTGCAAGAGCAATGTACCCTTTTAACCACTGAGCCACCTCTACAGCTTGGAAATTTCTTGATGTGAGCTGGATATGATGGTACATGCTTGTAATTCCAGGATTTGGGAAGTCGAGGCAGGAGGATTGGAAGTTCAAGGCCAGCTGGGCTACATCAGGCTCTGTCTCACAAAACAAAAATAAAAACAAAGTTATTCATGCAGAAATTTTTGAAAGACAAATTATATGTGAAGGTAATTTTGGTGGTTCAACTTGTTAGGCATTTCTAACACTCTTCTGCCTTTACTGAGAAACCTGGAAAAGCTTCCTTGTCACCTTCCTGGGTGCAGCTACATTTGACTGTAGGTTACAGCTGCAGGATTTCTGGGGATGAATTTGCTTCTCTTCTCCTTCTGCCACGGACACTGAAGTGATGACAGGAGAAGGGAGTGATGAGCCAAGATATCTCAGAGATGCCATTTTACAAGAAATCTTGTCACATGCAGACCCAATGTTAATCCTTGCCTATCTCCTGACCTTTGAAATAAACGAAATGTAAAACTCTCTGTGCTTGTTAGCAGCAGTCAGTAGTCAGAAGTTTGAAACTACCCTGCCTTCTAAAGTACAAACAGAATAAAGCCTTCCTTATTGGTGTTTGCGGTTCATTTCTAATTCCATGTGCTTAGATTCGGTCCCTGTCTGGCCTTGCATCACTGAAGACTGAGGCATGAGCCGAGCTCAAATGCTTTGTTGTTGTTGTTTCTTTAAGACAGGGCTTCAATGTGTAGCCCTGGCTGGCTTGGGACTTACTGTGTATATCAGGTTGGCCTTCACCTCACAGAGATCTATCTGCTTCAGCCTCCAGCATGCTGGGATTATTAAAGAGGAGTGTGTGTGTGTGTGTGTGTGTGTGTGTGTGTGTGTGTGTCACTGCACTCAGTTTGAGCTCAAATGTTTTCAAAAGTCCTTAAGTATTAACTTTACCTTCATTGTTTGAGATTAAAGGTGGAACTAAGGACAAGTCTGTATTCCAGCCAGAGGGGTTAAAGGTTTGTGCTAAGGGCCGAGACACACCCTAACTAGAAACAGGCTTAGATATCATGTAACAGAGGAGTACAGAATTTCTGACCTAATTAAGGCACTTTTTTGATCCAGGTGTGGTAGTGTATTCCATTAATTCCAGTACTCCAAAAGTAGAGGCAGGTGGATCTCTCTGACTTTGAAGCTATCCTGGTCTATATAGTGGGTTCTAGGTTAGTCCTGACTACATGGTGAGACCCTGTTCCTCAAAAAATTTCCTATTTGAAAAAAAAAATTTGAGTATGGTAACCTATAATTCCAGCACTTGGGAGGCTGAGGCAAGACAGTGGAAAATTTGAAGATATCCTAGGTTACAGAGCAAGAACTTGTCTCAAACAGATGAAGGCCAAACATCCACTTATGGTACAGCATATGCAGTACCCTTGTGATTGGGCCCATCATAGCAACGTTGAGAGACATCAGAATGTACCTCTGTACCGTGTTATCACCAGTGCTTGCTGTTGTTTTGCCAGCATAATACATAAAAAGCCTAGGATTGTATTAGGTTTTAGATAGGAGGGGAGATGGGGCTTAGGACAGAGGTGCTCCATCAAGTCATTCTCCAATACTATTAACGTCACTCCTCATAGCCCTCCCTGCCCACACACACACACTGGGTTCTTTCAGTGGCCTCTAGGATGTCAGAAAGGCAGAAGAGGTGTGTGCGTGGTGGGTCTGAAATAGAAATTCAGGTTGCTTAGGGAAAGCAGAACCTATTCTTCTTAAGGCCCATTTTGAAGGAAGTATGGAGGGGGCATGTGTTGTGTTAGGAGGCAGTGGAGCCAGGGTGGGCTCATGCCACCTAACTAGACTAAAAGACACGATGTATTCTATTTCTGGATGAGATGGGCGTTTGGAAAGTCCCAAGGACCTCTGCACAAGGAGTATCTATAAGAACCATGAACCTAGTTAGCATAGGATGTGACAGATCTCACTTTCTCTGCCTGCTATCTGGAAGAGCCTGTTCCCCTGTTCCCAGGAAGAGTGGGAATATGGGTGGAGATGGAGGTAGGGGCCATGTCTCATGCTTCTGTGACCCGATGTTTCTTTTTTTATATTTTATATTTTGAGACAGATTTTCACATATCCCAGGCTGCCCTTGAACTCACTAAGTATGCAAAGCTGACCCTAATTTTCTGATTCACCTCTTCTACCTCGATATCTTCAGTGCTGGTATTGGAGGGTGAGCCAGCACACCTGGTTGTTCAATGTAGGGAATCAGACTCAGGGCTCAGGAGTGCCAGGGAAGCACTCTACCACGTTAGGTACTCCCATCCCTACTCTTTTTGACTTTTAGTGTACATGAAGACTTTTTATTTTAATCAATCAATCAATCAATCAATAATTGATTGATTTTGGTTAAGACAGGGTTTCTCTGTTTAGCCCTGGAACTTGCTCTGTAAAGCAAACTCAGGATTTAGAGATCTACCTGCCACTGCCCCCAAAGCGCTGGGATCAAAGGAATGCACCTTGCCACTGCCTGGGCTCCAAGATACACTATACATTGTATAAGAAAAGTTATAAGACTAAGACAATGAGTAGCCATAATGTTACTGTAACATTGTAAACCTTTTAGGAGTCTCCACTCATGTGCTGTTGCTGCTTACAGTCTTGGTCTTTGCTGGTCTGAACCCTTTCTTGAAAGTGTGGGGCACTCTCATATGTCTTTGTACTTTCCTGGCATATATGTGTATCCCTATGCAATATTTTATGGCTTCATTAAAAACATACTTGTATA